GGTCCCTGCCATCTAGTGGGGTAGAAAGACACAGCACGAATCACCCCAAAGGCTCTTCATCCTAGCAGGGGAAGCCTGCATGCTCCGCCCCCCGGGGTGGACCTTGTCCACTGGGTCCTGTTTGCTAGTCTGTACCAGGGGATTTTGTATGTCAGGCCTGTATCTGCGTGGAGAAGACAACATGGGTGGGATGGGGCTAGCCTGTGTCTTCAGGCTGGGATGTAAGAAGGAGCAACAACTTAGACATCTTCTGATGTTTCCAGGGCTAGAAGAGGTGGCTGGAGGTGGCTTTCTGCTCGGTCCAGAGAAGCTGGCCCTCCGTGAGGTCAGCAGCACGTGGAGGCCCCGAGCCTGCCCAGAGGCGCAGATGGGGTGGGAGCGAGGGCGTGGAGGGGGTGGTGATGAGGGAGGCAGCAGCCCAGGGAGCCTGGCCACCACTCCGGACAGAGGCCCCCAGCCCCAGGAGGCATCGCCGGGAAGTTCTGTGACCCGAGTTCTGGAGTTCTGGTACCCTCTTCCCGCCGCCCTCCCCTGGCTCCTCTGGGTCCAGCCCCTCCTCTTAAAGGGGCCCTGGGTGCCGCGGCTGGGCCTGGCTGGAAGGCGGAGCGAGGCTTCCAGGGTCTGGTGTCGTCCTCCTGCCCCCGCCCCCTGGGCGGTCTGAGTGGCTGGAGCCCGAGCCCCGCCCAGCCGCCCCTGAGGCTTCTGCGCCGGGAGCCGGGCCTCCCTGGAGTCGGCTGCCGGCCAGGCGGAAGCGGAGTGGAGCTGACCACCTGCCGGTGAGTGAGCCTCGCTGGGCCTGAGGGGCGGCTTCTCGGAGCTGCCCGCCCTGGCAGCTGGAGGGCTGTCCAGTCCCTGGGGTGCGGGTCACTTTCTTCCAGCATGGGGCCGCAAGGGCCTGAGGGGCCCACCCCACAGTCTCAATTGAGCTGTGGGCTTCCCCTGGTCCCACATGGCAGGTCACGGGGCCAGCTGGATGAGCTCACTTCCTCCACCTCCTGTAGCATCTCCTGGCCTGTAAGGCCGGCCAGCCGGGAAAAAGGGAAATGCTGGGCGTGCCAGGGGCTCTGTTCCCTCCTGCCCTGAGAGTTCTGGGCTCATTTCCTCAGTGCTGCCCAGAGGGCCTGGGACAGCGCCAGAGCAGGAGGGAAGCACCGGAGGGAGAGGGAAGCTGCACTGTTCCTCACTGGGACCCAGAGGTGTCTGGACTTGTCACCATGTCCCTGCCTGAGGGGCGGGGAGGGGTGGCACACTGCCCTTCGCAGAGCTCCATTCCCCACTGGCGCTAACAATTGCCCGAAAGAAGATTCCTTTCTTTTGGGAGATTTAGGGAAGACCTATGGGGAGTCCTGTCCCTGCCTCCACTCGCCCTGCCCTAGGCCCATGGGCGTCCAGGCCACAGGCTTGAAAGAGGCACCTCTGGGCCCTTCTCTTTCTTTCCTCCTCTCTTGCCCAAGCCTTCCCCAAGATGGCTCACCTGTTTCACCCTGGGAGAATCCATTTCCCTGTTCCCTATTTTGAAGTTTTGGCTGCTTGTAGCTCTGGAACAAGGAGGAGAAAGGGTTGGTGCCCATTACACAAGCTGGGACACAGCTACCTGGCAGCCATCCTTTCGGGGAGCTGGGGGAGAAAACGGCCCTGCCCTCCAGGTGGGAGTGTGTGCAGAAAGTCAGGCCCATAGACACATGATTTGGGGGCCCTCGGGGTTTCTGCTGAAGCTTCAGGAGGGCACTCTGGCACCCAGTGAGATTTCCACTTGGAGCAAGAGCAAATTCTTGGGTTGTCTTCAGCTTGACACATGCAGGGCTGCAAGGCCCTGTGTGCTCAGGGAGAGCTTGTTGGGGGGCAGACAGTCCTGACTCCCTCACTGCCTTCCTGAGACTCAAGCCTGAATACACCAAGGTTCAAGGAAACCAGGCAGGAGCACGCACCCCCCACTCCCCAAACCCATAGTAAGTGATAAACTGGCCTGGGTCTGTCTATTGGACTTCAGTTGGAACATTCCATTCCACTGAGGGGGTATTGTTGCCCTCGTCCCGGGCAGTGAGGGGCAGATGGGGACGTTGCAGCACTGCTTGGGTGTGCACCCCTAGAACAGCACATCCTGACAAAGGTGATCCGCTCCCCACATGTGGTCCTGTTGGGCCATTGTTTCCTACTCAGAGGGGCAGCCACTGCCCCTGCTGTTTGGGCGCCTCTTTAAGAACTGCCGCCTCCGCCCTGTTCCTTCCAGCTTGCCAGCGATAGCAAACCTCTGTCCTCCCAGGGTGTGGGCTTGGAAAGGGAGGTGAGGTCTCCTCTGGATCTGGGAGCCAGGTCTGGGGGATGAAGCTGCACCAAACTCTTGGGTGGAAGTGAGGTGCAGGGTTTCTGAGCAGAGTTGTTCTGGGCCATGGTCACAGTTATGACCTGAGCCTCAAGGGGGGCGAGCAGAAGGAATGACTTTTCCCATTTTCCAGATGAGGAGACAGACTCACAGGGCACCTGTGACTTGCAAGGCCTTTCCCAGCTCTCAGGGCGGGGGTGGGAGGAGGGCAGCCAGGATTGCAGTAACCAGATTGTCCCTGTCCTCCACCAAAGCCACTCTGAGTTCTCATGTTCCAAGTGGCTGGCCCTTAGGCCATGTAATGACTTTAAAGTCCTACTGGTCACAGACCCAAACTCCACAGAATGTCCTTGAGAGAGGGAAGGTGTCTGCACTTCCCTGCTTCAGGGTGCCCTCCTTGCAGGTTTGTCATCCGGGCCTGAGTCCCCCCAGTTGCCCTCAGGGAGCCAGAGAAGGGAGAAAGCTCTGGCTTGGGCTTCAGGGGCTGTGGCAGGTGCGGAGGGCAAGTAGGGCTCTGAGATGGGGAGGCCATGAGCACTCTTGGCCAAGGAAGTGGCTCTGCCCTTGGGAAGTGAGAAGAAGTGACCTCTAGGGACCCCCTTTCCTCCATCCTGCAGCTCTGAGCTGGACAGAGGGTGCCGGGCCTGTTTCCTGGGGAACAGCTGAATTCATATCTGCTCCCTGGGGGCCTTTTGGACCCACAGATAGTGATTTGGAAGAAGCTTGACACCCTGGTCTTAGTGTCTCATTTTAAAAGAGGAGGTATGGTAGTGACAGAGGGAAGAATGAGGGCGGGAGGACCCCCTGCCCGCCCCCTCAGGGCAGTCCCTCCAGGACAGCCACTCCTTGGGCTGGTTCCCCTTGAGCTCTTTCCACTGCAGGGGGAGGAATGAGGACCCACCCTGCACTGGTGGGCTGCCTGGCCCGGCCAAGCCCCTGGACTGGAGGCCCTGGGGGAGAATGAAATGCAGAGGCGCATGCGGAAATCTGCTTTGAGGTCCTGAGGGTTTGGGCCAAGCTGGGTTTGTCTGGGCTCCTGAACGTGCCTTTCTGACAGTGTGCTGCGGTCATCACTGCCCCACATGGTAGGACAGCGAGGAAAATTGGCAGGAGGAGACTGGGGCTCCCGTCCCCTCCCACAAGGCCTTGCTGCTCCCCATAGTGAATCCTGGGTGTCTGCTCAGTCTGAGCTTTCTAGAGTTTCTAGACTCAAGGAAAGAGCCTCATACTGGCAGCCAAGCACCAGCCTCAGCCCCGACTGCCTATCACCCGTCTGGGCCTGTTTCCCTGGGGAACTGACTGGAGGCCAGGGTGGGGCCCCAGGGCCTGGTGGGCTGGGGAGGGGAGGTGTGCTCAGTACGTGGGCCGTGTGGTCGAGGAGCCCTGACCATTGTGGATGCGAAAGTTAGTGGGAGGCTCAGCACGGGCCTGGGGCAGGAGCATTTCAGGGCAGGAGGGCCTGGCTTTTGGGGCGGGAGGAGGCTTACACTACAAGTCTGCTTTTGGGTGAAGCCTGGGGGGAGGGCGCCCTCAAGGCGAGCGGCCTAGGGAGATGAGCTCGGCTGGAGGGGTCTGGAGTGGGCCAGGCCTCGCCACTTCCTCTGCCGGAGGCGGAAATCTGTGCTTAGTCGGCCTTGCCCCGGCTCCCACAGGCCACAGCACACCCAGGGACTCGTGGACCCTCCAGGCAGGTGCCAGGGCCGGCATTTTCACCTCTGTGGCTGAGGTGCGTTTGCCGGGCGTCAGACGTCTACCCTTGTGTGGGTAGGGCCATGTCGGAGTTGGGGCCTCTTACTCTGTCACAGTGCCTTGGCTGTGGGGGGGTTGGAGTTGTCCTGGGACAGGGTCCTCAGCTGGTCAGTTCCCTACCTTAGGAGCAGCTCTTGGGGCCCACATTTCTTCATATAAAGATGGCGGCAGGCGCCTGCCCCCTTCCAGCCTGCGTTTGGGATTGGAGGCCAGGCCGGTGGGGCAACATCCCCGGGGCCTTGACTACCCTGGGCTGAGACAGCAACAACTGTGCAATGTTTGCCGTCTTCCTTCCCTGTTATCTGTGAGGGTGTTTTATCTGTGAGGGCAGACTGCAAGGGCTTTGTGGAGGCTGGGCGTGTCCTCCCTGATGGCCAGGCAGGGCCCGCCGGCCAAGTGCTGGCCAGAGTGCTGTTTCAAAGCAGAGATGAGCAGGGCGGGTGGAGCTGTGTGGGCTTCAGTCCGGCCCCACCTCCACGCCGTTTTCCCTGAGGTCAGCCAGGTGCTCATCTTCTGAGGAGGCCTTGGGGGGTCGGTGCCAGGAATGGGGGCTCTGAGGCTGGGAGGGCGCGGTGCGGTGAGGAGAGCCAGAGCAGGTCAGATGCCCTGGGTCTTGCCCACCATGCTCTCCTTCCTGCTCCCTCATTCCTCAGATGCTGTTTTGTCACCTGAATGGAAAATGGGTCAGGTCCTGGCGAGGGAGGGGCCACCCAAGCCGCAGACAGGCGGACGCTGGGCCCCGGCCTGGAGCACAAGGCTCGGATTCCTGCTGGTGCACCTTGGGCCCAGAGGTGCCTGGCCCCCTCCCTGCCATCAGCTCACTGAGCTGAGCCTGGGGACACAGGGGGCCGAGTTGTAGGGGCTTGTGCCCCAGGCCCCGAGCAGCTTCCCAAGCAGGTGTGTGACCACTGCCTGTCTTTGCCATTAGCCGCGACCTCTAACCTGCGCCCTGTGAGCCGCCGACCGAACCAAGCCAGGGAAGCGGCCCACCAGCCACCAGGCGGCCTGGCGGAGGCAGTGCCCGTGGAGCAGTGGCAGCGCAGGAGCGCCTCTGGCTGGGGGGAAGGGAGGAAGGAGGAGAAACAAAGGCGAGCGTGCCTGGCGCCGCCCTCCCTGCGCCGCCCACCATGTGTCAGTCAGAGGCGCGGCGAGGACCGGAGCTCCGCGCAGCGAAATGGTGAGATGCTGCAGGCAGCGTCCTAACCCCAGTGTGCCCCACCACGACCTCCGGAAGGTTAGAGTTCATGTCCAGCGGCCCCACGGTGGAGGTGGCAGCAGGGGGCCAGGGGATCAGCCCCCACGGTTGGAGGGGCCCGGCCCTGGGGGCCTGAGTCGGAGAACCCACTTCAGGTACCTGGGGAGACAGAGCGAGCTGGTGGCCCTGTGTCTGTGCTGCACCTTAACTGCTGCTCCAGGCCCCCTCCCCCATGTGCCCCCACTCCGCTGAGGAGGGTGCAGCTCGTCAGGATTGGTCACCGTGCTTCTGCAGTGAGCAGGGCTGGTGGGGAAGCCCTGGGGGAGAGCAGTGATTTGTCTTGCTTCGCTTGGTCCCTACTGCCTTCCTGGACCTTTCTAAAACAGGCTGGGGTGGGATGGGGGAGAGGATGAACGCAGGGAGTGTGGGAAGCTGTGGAGATGCATCAGCTTCCATTGCCATCCTGGAACTGCAGGGCCCGGCCCTCAGCTCAGTTCTCCATGTTTGCTGCTTTAGTATCAGCTGAGGTGCCTCTTTGTTCCTTCATTTGTTCAGCAACTGGGGGCAGAGGACATGGCTTGTGTGAGAGCGTATGGGCACGGATGGGGCCTTACATTGTCCAGTTGAATGCAGTTTTTTTGCAGATGAGGAAACCGAGGCCTAGGGACATTCTCAGAGTAGGTGGCAGTGTGGTCTCCTGAGGGCTATACTGGGGCCTCAGGAGCATTTTCTAGGGCCTAGGCATGGGGACTCCGGTCTGCCAGTTGTGCCTCAGGAGGCCAGGGTTCTGGTGGAAAGGCCCATCCCAGCCTCTGCGACTCCTGCAAGGCTGAGCCTGTGCTGAATGCACTGAATTTGGGCTGGTGGGGTCTGGGGAAAGGCCCACCCACCTTTGCTGAAAGGAGGGGCCTGGGCCAGGCGTGCAGCCCCAGCAGACCTGGGAGGTGGCCTGAGGATTGGGGAGGTTCCTCCACCAACCTCTGGATTGGTTTTAGAGAACCTGACCTGATGTAGGAAGACCATACAGATGGATGAAGCGGTAGCTGTTGCTGGAGTGGGGGAGTGCGTGCGTGTGTGTGCGCACGAGCATGTTCCTGTGTGCTTTCCTTTGGGATCTTATCAGGCCCGGCCCGATCCCTTAATTTTATCAGATGAGGAACTGAGGCTTGGAGCCATGAAGGGGTTTTCCCAGATCCTGCAATGGGATGGTAGCAATGGCTTCCCCGCTGCTGTGCGCTGTGCTGTGCTGCTGGGGGCTCAGGGAGATGAGACTAGATCTCCCAGCGTCTGTGCAGGTGGAGCTGGCCCGGGAGGGTGGGGGGCTGAGAGGCAGGCTCTGCACCCTGTCTTCCCCGTGCTGGGCCCAGGCGGTGCTTAGCCCTGAAGGCCCTTGCTGGGGCCCCTCCCATGTTCAGAAACTGCTCCGTGTGCGAGGTGCTGGGCCTAACCCGCTGTGCCTCGGCTACCTCTGATTCCCCGTTCGCCTCAGCTGGCAGGCAGGTGGGAGAGACCGGGAAGTGAGTCTGCCGACTAGAGGCAGCCAAGCCTCCGACTCAGAATGGTATTGGGATGAAGGGGCACAGCCAGTGCTCCCGGATTCCATTGAGGGGCGAGCTTGCTGAGGGTGGGGGGGACAGGAATGGCACTGCCTGGGGTGGGGCGGGGCCTCCCAGTCCCTCCCAGACCCTGGCCGCTGACCCTGGCCGTGCGTGGACATATGCCCTGCAGGTTGCACTTCCCCCAGCTGGCCCTGAGGCGGAGGCTGGGACAGTTGAGCTGCATGTCCAGACCCGCCCTGAAACTGCGCTCCTGGCCCCTGACCGTCCTCTACTACCTCCTGCCCTTCGGTGCCCTCAGACCGCTCAGCCGGGTGGGATGGAGGCCCGTGAGCAGGGTAAGTGTGTGCAGGCTGCTGGCCCGGCGCTCCCCCTCGGCAGGCCTGAGGTTGGGGCCCAGGAGCCCGAGGAGACAGTTGTCAGATTAGAGGTGATGGCTGTGGAGGCTGAGCCCTCCCAGAGGGTTGTGTTGAAGGGCATGTCAGTTGAGAAGGCTGGGCTGGTTGGTGGCCGTGTGGGCTGCAGACAGGTGACCAAGGGCTTGCTGCCCACTGCCTGCACTCGTGCCATTGGGGGCTCTGCTTCTGGAAAGAACCCACACTGGGCATTCAGAAAATGGTTTCTATCTGATTTCCTGTGTTCAGGCAGAAGAGAGCTTAGAGATGATTTTGAGAAGAATCCAAATTAATTCCTGGCTGCCAGAGGGTGGTTCAGGAAGGCTGGAGGCTGTTGGGCCCCTTGGGGGTGAGGATGCCTTTGAGGACTTGGCAGCCCTGGGCTCTCTGGACAGGCTGACCCCATAAAGGAAACCCTGCTCCTGGGCCCTTGGACAGCCCCACTGGATGTCTTGAGGGCTTGAAAGCTCAAGGGCATCTAAGGGGCACTGGGCATTAGACCTGAGGTCATACGGCAGCCCTGGGCTGCTCCAGTGGATGGGCGTCAGCTAGGAGGAGTTCTGGGTGCCACTAATTCAGTACCTTGTAGAGGTGTTTAAAGTTGGAATGAAATTACTTTTACACCTTCGGGACTTGGTGTCTTGGTTGTGTTCAGACAAGCAGCCGCTGCCGATTAGAGGCAGGTCCCACTGTGGCAGCAGCACCTGATGTTTCAGAGGCTGCTTCTTCCAGGTCTCCTGGCCCTGATATTTTTGGATGGAGGGGCCAATTCCCCTCTGCCTCCTGGGAGGAGCCCCAGGTGCAGACAGCTTTGTGGACTGGCCCAGTCACAGGAGAATGCCTCTGAGCAACCGGCATGGCAAGTCCAGGCCCTCTGAGTGCTGGCCCAGACGATAATGATACAGCGCATCTGCACACAAAAGTCCTGACCCTGGGGGGCTTGGGAGTGTTCTCCTTGCTTCCTGTTAGGATGAGCATGTTCGCTTTGGCTGTAGACTTTCCGTGCACTCGGGGCCTCCTGCTCCTACGTGTGCTGGTCCGGGACAGAGGCAGCACTGCCTCCTGCCAGAGCCTCTCTGGGATGCTGTCAGATCCATTAATGCCCCCCCTTCAAGAAGAAAGACTGTGCTGGCCAGTGTCTCCCTGGGGACTAGGCCGGTTGCTATTCGACCTCTGCATTAAATGACTGGAACACCTGAGTAGTAAGTCACTGTGTCATGGTCTCGGCCTCTGCCAGTACTCAGTTTGTGAGAGTATTTGGGAAGCTCAGTCCAGTTCCTAGTGAGAAACAATCACATCACAAAGCCATCATGGGGGTTGGCAGACTGGGAGGGGCAGGGGGCGGGCACGCAGTGTGGCCATCTCATCTGCCTGCCTGTGGCCTGCAGGTGGCCCTGTACAAGTCGGTACCAACGCGCTTGCTGTCGCGGGCCTGGGGCCGCCTCAACCAAGTAGAGCTGCCGCATTGGCTGCGCAGGCCTGTCTACAGCCTATACATCTGGACCTTCGGGGTGAACATGAAGGAGGCCGCCGTGGAGGACCTGCACCACTACCGCAACCTCAGCGAGTTCTTCCGGCGCAAGCTGAAGCCGCAGGCCCGGCCCGTGTGTGGCCTGCACAGCGTGGTGAGGCCCCCCCCCCCCCCCCCCCCTCCCCCCCAGCTGCAGCTGTTCCATCGCCGCCCTTCTGGACTTGCCTTCAGCTGTTGTCTCCCTCCCCCCCCCCACCGCCTTCCACTCCTCCCTCTAGAAACATGATTCTTGCTTCTGCCTTTGGGAACCAGTCCCAGCAGCCTCCACAGGTGGCCCAGTGGGTGCCCATCCCAGGCTGGGCCCCAAGGGAGAAGGAGGCCCTGCCCTGCGTCCCCTCTCCTCCCCTCCCCTCCCTGGCAGCAAGCCTCTCCTGGCCCTTCCAGATCAGCCCGTCGGATGGGAAGATCCTCAACTTTGGGCAGGTGAAAAACTGCGAGGTGGAGCAGGTGAAAGGGGTCACCTACTCACTGGAGTCGTTCCTGGGCCCGCGCACCTCCACAGAGGACTTGCCTTTCCCACCAGGTGGGTCCTTGCCCAGTCACAGCCGGGCAGCCCTGCTGCAGCCTGGCTGGGCTGGACATCAGAGGATGGACAGGAGTGGGTCGGGGATGCTGGGAAGGCTGTCAGAACTGAGGGCCTGCACATGGGCCAGGAACCACTCTACCTGGAGCTTCTGGGCCTGCCTGGAGCCCAGTCCAGACTGCAGGCTCCATGCTGGGTGGTATCAGATGCTTGTCTGAGAGCCTGGCCCTGGTGTCTGCCCCCTCAGCCACCTCCTGCAGCTCCTTCAGGAGCCAGCTGGTCACCCGGGAAGGGAACGAGCTCTACCACTGCGTCATCTACTTGGCCCCCGGGGATTACCACTGCTTCCACTCTCCCACTGACTGGACCGTTTCCCACCGGCGCCACTTCCCAGGTAGGCTAGGGTCACACGTGGGTGGGAGCTGCCTCCGTGGGCCTCAGACAGAGGTCCTCAGCTTTTGTGTGTGTGTGGGGAAGATCAGTCCTGAGCTAACATCCATGCCAATCCTCCTCTTTTTGTGCTGAGGAAGACTGGCCCTCGGCTAACATCCATGCCCATCTTCCTCTACTTCATATGGGACGCCACCACAGCATGGCCTGACAAGCGGTGCATCGGTGCGCGCCCCGGGCCGCCAGTAGCGGAGCGCGCGCACTTAACCACTATGCCACGGGGCAGGCCCCTGATCCTCAGCTTGGTGTCAGCAGATCCAGGCTCTAGATTTGGGTGGCCAAGGCCCGGAATTGACTGTTTTGGTCTGGCTGGGCCTGGGCAGCGGGGGCAGGGTGGGGTCCAGCCTGCTCTGCACTTGGAATGATGGGCAACACTGGGTCTTGGGCTGTCCCAGAGTGGACACACCGGCTGTGGGAGGCTAGTCCTCCTGCTGGGTGGGGTGTGGCAGTGTCCCTGCCCCCAACAGGCTCCCTGATGTCCGTGAACCCTGGCATGGCCCGCTGGATCAAAGAGCTCTTCTGCCACAATGAGCGAGTAGTCCTGACTGGGGATTGGAAACATGGCTTCTTCTCACTCACAGCCGTGGGGGCCACCAACGTGGGCTCCATCCGCATCTACTTCGACCGGGTAAGCAGAGCCCAGGCCCTGTGGAAGCCCAAGAGCTGGGCCACTCAGGGTCCCCGCACCGCATCTCCTATGCAGCCAGATCTGTTGGGATTATAAATTCTAGGAGGGCATGTCCCCCTGCCAGGCTTGGCTCTGAGCTTCTGTTCTGCATGCCCCCCCACCACCACCCAGATTTGCTGCCACTTGCCCCTGTTGGGAGGTACCTGGAGAGGGAGGGAATTAACCTCCCCGCCTGGCCCTTTGCTTCTGCTGGGAACGAAAGGGGAATATTGAGCTTGGGGTGGGGCATGCTGATTGGAGGTCAGGCATGTGAGGGCGCGGCCAGTGCCCACCCTGCCCACAGGGCTGCCTTTCTTGGTGTCGGTTTGTGACTGTTCCTTGCCCTCCTGGGTGCTGGTCTTGCAGCACCATTTGTGCTGGAGAACGTAGTCAGTTCTGATGCCTCCATGTTCCTCTGGGGCCTAGTACACAGCCCACAGGCTCAGTCCCTGTCCCCACCTCCCTTTCTGAGCTGGGTTGGGGACAGGCAGCAAACGTGTGTTCAAGCTCCAGGGAGTAGGACTCCACATGCTCTGCCCCCTGGCCTCCCCCAGGACCTGCACACAAACAGCCCAAGGTACAGCAAGGGCTCCTACAACGACTTCAGCTTCGTGACGCACGCCAACAAGGAGGGCATCCCCATGCGCAAAGGCGAGCACCTGGGCGAGTTCAACCTGGGCTCCACCATCGTGCTCATCTTTGAGGCCCCCAAGGACTTCAACTTCAAGCTGAAAGCAGGACAGAAAATCCGATTCGGGGAGGCTCTGGGCTCCCTCTAGAGCCTCTTTCCTGGCTGTGGATGCCGAGGGATCTTTTCCAAACAGAAATGGGAGGGTCTTTCTGAGGGGAATCTCTGCAGCTGTCCCGGGGAGTGGACTGTCTTGGGGCCATGGGATCTGACAGTGGGTGACTTCTGTCCCTGCTGTCCCAGAAGTGCAGATGACGAAGTCAGAGCCCATCATGCCCTAGACCTACATTGTCCCTTCCCACCCTAAAGAGAAAGAAAGTGCAGGCCGGGATGATCTCAGATTCCCTTTGGGAGACTTTTTAACCTACTGTATAAACTGGAGACCCTACATCTCCTGGCTGAGCGTTCCGTTGGTCTTGATTTCCATTTTAAGATGATAAGTGATAAATATACCTTCTTGCTGCTCCTTCCATCACTGCTTTTTGGCCTTCTCCCTCTGCCTCCCCTGCACGGGGTGAGGTGCCTCTGGCACTGTGGGCCAGCACTGCCCCCCAGAGCAGGGTCATATGGCCTTTAATGCGACGGCTTTCTGTCCCAAATTTATTTGCCCCACCCTGCTCTTTGGGAAAAATGGTCTTTCTTTGTGCTTGTGGCTAAACACATCACCCCTGGCTCCGCCAGCATCTTCTGCGGATGGTGACGAATGGTGTGGCACTTTGCAGGCCCCAGTGAGTGACCTTCTGGAGCTGGCAAGTCCACTCTGTAGGAGGCAAGAACAATTGCTGCACCCGCCTGAATGGTGTCCAAAGTGAATGGGGCCAGGGGAGAGCTTGCGTCCCCGCCCCGTATCCAGACCGACATAAAATACGGGGACGTTGCTGCTATTGATTGATTCAGGGGCTTGTGTTGGAGGCAGAAGAAGAGCCTTGGAGTGTCTGGGGGAAGGGGTCAGTGCCTAGAAAACCTGTCCCCAGGTAACAGGTACGCAGTCTTTGGGGAGCCACTGACGGTGGGGACAGGGCCAGGTTTCATCTTTCCTGGGGATGCTGTGAATTTCTCCTGCAGGAGAAGCCATTTGAACTTTTTCAACTGTATCAGTAGCACAGTATTTTTGTATGAAAAGTGGGAGACTTCTGAACAGTAATTCATTTAATTGCAACAATTTGAAATAAAAAAATAAAACTCATCGCAGCTTTGTGTTCTGTTCCTGGAGGTGGGCTGAGGCCTCCCGTAAGCCCCGCACCTGTCTCCCTGGGGCGATGACTCTAGCACAGAGCCCGCCGCAGGGCCTGGAGGCGGGCGATGCAGGTGCTGATGGGCTGGCGCTGGGCCTGGAGCTCAGCGGCCAGCTGCTGGATCTGCAGTTCCACCTGGGGGTGAGGGAGGGACAGGCTGAGCTGAGAGGAAGCACAGCCTGGGAGCTGGTCCCCGGGGGCTGCCTGAGGCCTCACCTCCTGCAGTTCTTCCTGCACCTGCTGCTCTGCTTCCTGGTCCTCAGGCCTGGGCTCCTCCCGGCTCAGCTCCAGCCACCGGCGTAGGCTGCTTGCTTGCCGCTGGTAGGACCTGAGGGAGTGAGACGCCTGCTGCCTGGGCCCTTGGCAGAGCCTCCAGCTTGGGGAGAAGCAGACATCAGCTACTGCTGATGTGGGTGGAGGGAGAAGGGTTGTTCCTGTTCCTCTCGCAGCCTCCACCGGCGCGCAGACAGCAACTCAGGGGGGCCCAGGCAGAAACCCCCTCCCTGTTCCTCTCCCTGTGCAGAGCTGGCAGTGGGGGATCCGCCCACTTTCCTCCAGTCTCCAAGGCTGCTACTTGTCTTGATGGTCCCTGGCCTGAGCATGGGAGAGGTGGGCTCTGGACCCAGACCACAGGCAAGACTGGACAGCTGACTATGCAGCTGGGGCCCAGGCCCGTCTTCTCTGCACCTCTGTCTTCCTGTGTCACAATACTCACAATCACTGGGTAGACCACTGGCCTGGCTTCCACATGACCCAGTCAAGTTCAAAGTTTTGCTCAGCTTTGTCGTCCCCTGGCCCACAGATAAGGCTGACCAGAGCCTTCCTGAGCACGACTGAGAGGTACAAGTGCCACCTGTGTGCGGGGTGCTGGCATAGCGTAGATGCATCACCCCCAGGACCCCGGCAGCCAGCTCTGGGGAGACAGAGCCCCCCCACTGTCCCTGGGGACGAGTGGCAGCCTGAGTCTTACCAGAGGTTCTGCTTCATGGTCTGGTAGTCCTGCAGTTGCTGCTGGATACCCTCAAGCTCAGCCTCCAGGTCGGTGTGGCCCGTGATAAAAGGAGAATAAGCTTGATCTGGACCACCCTCCCAGCCCGGCCCAGGCTGAATAGAGGGACCCCAGGTGCTGGGAGTGGTACGAGTGCTCGCTGCTCTGACGGGCCTCAGGTGCACACCTGCAGTTTCAGAGCCAGGCCTACGCCCGGTGCCTGTGAAGTCCCCAGGAAGGAGCAGGCGGGGGTCGGGGACACTGGCCAGGGATGGTGAGGCCTGGGGCATAAGCCCAGGGGTGGTTGGCAGTGCTGACACCTATAAAGGAAGGATGGAAACTGAGCAAGGAGGGCAAGAGGAAGGCTGGGGAGGGGGCACTGAGGCTGCCCACTGTCGGTGGGGGTTGGGTTAGGCAAGGCCCCAGGAGCTGGGCTTCCCCACATCTGCCGCAGCCGGCTCACCCAGTATGGCCCTGCCTCTTCCTTCAAGACCTGAAACCAATGGAGAACGTCCCACCAGCAACCCAGGGAGCACCTTACACCTTTGTAGTCGGTTCCCACGCCTTCCCCAGGGCCTGGCTCAGCACTGCCCAAGCAGCTGTTTCAAGCCTTACTGACCTTTCACCCCCGCCTACTCAGCTGTGACCTTGCACTTCAGTGAGAAAAGTGGTCAGAGACAATTGTTTTCCTTGTCCAACCACACACCTACAACCCTCCTCCATTCCTTCCTGGTTACAATGTCCTCTGGTGACAATGGACTCTCTCCTGTCACCCGCTACTCCCTCACCACTCTGGCTTAAGTCACACTCTCTTCAGACACCAGCTCCTTGGGATGGCCCAACCCTGCTGCTGTCTTCTCCATTCTGAGCACTCGTGCTTTCTCACAGCTCCCTGCCCAGACTCCTCCACTTTGATGTCATATGCCCCAGGAGCCGAGGGCCCTCTCCTCCTGAGGGACCTCATCGGTTCCCAGGGGTTTACCTTCAACCTGTGCTGCAGATTCCCAATTTTGATCTCCAGCCCTGACCTCTTCCCTGAAGGCCAAACTCAAAATCTTGTTGCTTTTTCTGATCTGACAAGTTTACGACAGACTCTTCAGGCTTCACCCCAAATGGGTCCCCACCCCCAGTTTCCCCTCTTTCAGTAAAAGAACTCATTATTTCCTAAATTATTCAAGCCAGAAACCCAGGAGCCATCCTGGATTCCTTCCTTCACTCTCTTATCAAACCCATCAGAGCAAGTCCTGCCTACTTTGCCTCCCACTGAAGGTTTACAGCCACCCCCTGAGTCCCGGCCACCAGCACCTTCTGCTGGACCATTGCATCACAGCAGCCAAACACCCTCCAAAACTTCCTACTCTTCTTAAGATCCAAATATTTCACCAGGGCCTGCACGACCCTCCATGATCTGCAGTCTCTTCATTTGTCTGCATTCGGGGGTTTTCTTTAGTCTCTGTCACTAAGAGATAAGCCTCACGAGCAGCAGCCTGTTCACTGCTGTGTCCCTAGGACAGCGGCACCTATATTGGTGAATGAATGAGTGCCTTCCCTGCATCTTCCTGAGCCAGGAGTGTTCCAGAAACAATGAGCACAGCTGTGGTTATAGTCCCAAGTGCGTGAGAAAGAGCACCAAAGGCCAGACCAAAGAACAGGACCCCAGGTGCCCAGGGAGGACTTACCCTGGAGGGTGCTTGTGCCCCACGTGGCATGAAGGAGGAAGGGGGCAGCAGCTCCGGGCCTGTATTTGCTGTGGGGGGCAGCTTCAGGTCAGGGAGGCCCGGCAGGGCCCTGGGCTGGGGCAGGGGGCTGCCTGGGACCAGTGCTGTCTGGGCCTTTGCCAGGAAGGGCCTCATCACGGAAGGGCCTGCTGGCTGGGCCACACCTAGGCTACGCTCCCGCAGCACCTTCAGCCTGAGCGGAGAAGACAGGAGCTGGTCAGGCCATGGTACCCTTCTGAGGTGGAGGAAGGAGAGGGGGCCACCCCCCTTAAGGCCCCAAATCACAGGCCCCAGATGGAGGTACCACCTGCTCTCAGGGGCCCAGGACCACATGACCTACCCCTGCCCCGTGAGGGTGCCACAACCCAGGGGCCTCTGGCTCTGCACAGGCTGCAGCAAGAAGTCTGGGCATCGAGGCTGCCTCCTTGCCGAGCGGGCAGCACTGCTGGGAAGAAACATGGGCCCGTTCCTCCAGGCTGCTCAGGGGCTACAGGGGGCCTGAGACCTCTGGGGAACAGGTCATCCAGTCTGACCCCTCCAATCTTATAGGGAGACTGAAGGCCAGAGAAGGAAAGGCTCTTGCCCAAGGTCAGCAGGTGAGCTGGGGTGGGCCTGAGCCACATGAAACTTCTAGAAATTCCAATGAAGCAGGCCTGAGGCCACGGGGATGCCTCACCCACATCATCTCATCTGACCTCTAAAGCAACCCAGGTGACGCAGGTACTCGTCCCACGTCACAGGGGCAGCAGGCTTGTCAGGGTCAGGCCCTTGTTAGGGTCAGGTGGTGAGGGAGGCAGAGCAGGACAGAGACCCAGGCCGGTGTCCCTCCCCGCCGGCGACCTGTCCGCCAGGCTCAGGCAGTGCTGGTCACTCTGACAGCTGACAGCTACATCAGCATGGTGTGTGAGGATGGGGCAAGAGCCAGGTCACAAAAAGTGGGGTTTCCAAGGGGCCGGCCCCGTGGCTTAGTGGTTAAGTGCGTGCGCTGCACTACTGGCAGCCTGGGTTTGGATCCCGGGCGCACACTGACGGACCACTTGTCCGGCCATGCTGAGGCTGCGTCCCACATACAGCAACTAGCAGGATGTGCAACTATGACATACAACTATCTACTGGGGCTTTGGGGAGAAAAAGGGTTGCGGGGGAAGTGGGGTTTCCTAGAGGGAGTGTATTTCCCGGCCATAAGGGGAGAAGTGGGGAGACTGGCAGGTCTGGAGACAGGAGGGCGGGGCTGCCCTACAGCCCATTCCTTTTGCTAACTACATGTTCTCTCCCCCGCGCCCAGGAGGGACAGAGGCTGCGGGCCCAGTTAGGGCCCAGCAGAATGGGAGGGACGGGATCCTGCTGGAGAGAGGGGTCGGAGCGGCTCAGTTGTGACCCTCAGGGCCCAGTGTCCTCCCTCCTGTGCAGTCCAAGCTTTGCCCCAGGTGGAAGCGAGGAGAAGCAGCAAGAGATGGGCTACTCACAGCTCCAGGAGTTGGGGGTCCCCAGCAGCCAGGGTCAGGCTGCCTAGAGCTCCCCGAGGCCCATGAGGAGTTCTTGGCCTCTTGGTCTCCAGGGCAGCATCCCCAGCCCCAGCAGCGATGCGGTTGGGAAGAGGACCCTCAAATGTCACTCTCCTGCTGGGCACGGTGGATGTGGGGGGCTGAGCCTCCCTGCCCCACCCCAGCACCTTCTGTTTCCAGAGCATGGCACAGCGATGGACTGCACGGTGGAGACTGTGGGCTGCCTGCAACCGGCCTCTGGTCAGATCATGCCGTGCTTGCCCACTCCCCACAAGAAGGGGTGGGGGTCCCTGGGCCTACCTGCACCTGCTGCTGGGCATGCAGCTGCTGCCGGAAGGCCTTCATGCCAGCTGCGAACCGCAGGAGGTGCGTGACGCCCTCCTGGAGCAGCTGCTGGTGGTAGGCCTGCACCGCCCGCTCCAGACGTGCCTTCTTTCTCCTCTTTTCCAGCACTAAGCCCAGCCATGCAGCCCACACCTCCGGGGAGAGGAGGTGAGGCCTAGTTCTCCCTGCTTAGGCTCCTCCCGGGGCTGTGCCCACCACTCACCCTGCCCTCCACCGAGGCACAGTCTGCTCCTGGGAGAGGCAGGAGCAGTGGGATGCGGAGCCCCCATTACCTTTGCCTGTAGTGAGAAGGACCAGAACCACAGGGCCCGTGCTGTGCCCTGCTGCTCCCGCCTCCTGTTCACCAGCTACAGGCCAGAAAAACAAGATTACGGAAACCACCTTCAGGGAGGCCACCCTG